TGATTTTTTAAAAATATACGCGTTATTAGTGTACAAATAACGGGACCTGCCTTTGACAGAGGCCAAGCAGCAGATAGAGAGGAGCCAAAGCCATTTAAACACAGTATACGAGGTGGGTATATCCCACAGTTCATGTTGAAACTAGAGGTAAAAACGAATGAAAAAGATAATTCAAAAAAGAAAAAAAGAACAACTCACACACATCCAGGAGAGACATAGGAGTCGGGTTACAAGTTTGTCGCGACCAGCATAACAATAATAGTATAATTCGAATTGTATAAATAAACGCAAAAAATCATGTTCAGCGCTCACAGTTTCATTTCTGAGGGGAAGTGTGCGTGCGCGCGCGCGCGCCCGTGTGTGTGTGTGTGTGTGTGTGTGTGTGTGTGTGTGTGTGTGTGTGTGTGTGCGTGCGCGCGCGCGCGCCTGTCATTCCACTCTGTGTGTCTGGGAATGTCGTAGTTCATTACAGCCTGCTGGCCAAGTGCCAACCTGACCAGGCCTCTTCTGTGGCGGGTCCTCAGTCTATCTACCTGTGACTGTGAGATCGAAATGTTCTATAACGTACCGCAAAACAAGTACGGTTGAAAGTTAAAATTATGTGGGTGGTTGCCGGGTGCTCTAGTGTGTTTCCTCCTACATTCCTATCAAACATTTATCGTCCTGATCTCTCCTCCTTTATTATGTTTGTTACTCTCCGATAACATCTCTAATCTTCGGCACTTATATGACCTTATTGTGTTTTTAAGTGCCGAAAAACTTTTACTAAAACTCTCCAAGACGACTGCACATTTTTGGAAGGGAAAAGTGACTGTCTTAGCTCAGTTGGACGTATTTCTTACGTTGTCACTACACGACTATATTGTAAAAAGAAAGAAAAAACACCAAAAAAGGTTTTGGTTGGGAAAAGGGGGTGGGGGGTGTTTCTGTTTCGTACAGGTGGTTGTCTTGTACAACTACAAGTGGTCGTCAGAGCAGATTTGACGGAAAATCTAGTTTGCTTCCAGTCTGTGGGTGGTTGGAGGGTGTACTGGTGTGGTTTGTATCTTCCTTCCTATCAAACATCTGCTATATCGTCCTTA